GCTGCACACTGGGTGTAATCTGTTGCAAAAAAAAAGGTCCACTACCAAAAACCTCCTGATGTTAAATTTGGTTGCTACCAAATTCCACAGTTGACTAAAGTTTTTCATGTTTGTTTGCAAATACTTGCTAACTGCTAGGCTGCTAGGGTAGTAAAACTTGAAAAAGTTTGAAGCAAACCAGAAAGGGAGAATGTTTGCCTCTATAGTAAAAGTTCGGTTTCATGAAGGCAAATAGTATCCAGTTCCAGTTTGCATCCTTCTTTTCAGTTTAACTGTAGCTTGGATGGTAACTGACTACTGTTTGTAGACAAGTCTGTCACATTCATCCAAATTATGACCACTGCAATCTGCCAGTGACCAAAGCAATCACAAGGAAGTTTTTGCTAACCATAAGGTTGCCATCAGGTCACTGAACCATTTGTAGACAAGCGTGACTGGGGATTTAGAAATAATTTTCCCAGGATTTCAAAAACCACTGGATGGCATTACAGTATCTACATCCACCTTTTTATAGTGTCTGGCTGGAATCACATTTATGTATTTCAGGAGTTAATGTTCTCCTTTCTTAGCTACAAATCACTTATCTACTGAGTGGATAAGTGATAAAGTAACAAGAGTGTTATAATGAAAATCTTCTAAATGTTATGTGATCCAACCCAGAAAACATGTGAAATGGCTAACATTCTTGACTGTTTCCAGATACACCATATGGACAAAAGTGCTGGGCCACACTTCCTAATCAGTAAATTCAGGTTTTTTTCAGTTCCATTGCCACAGGTGTATAAAATCAAGCACTTAGTCATGCAGCGTCCCTCTACAAACATTTTAAACATTACAAAGAGTAGGCCTCTAGCATCAGCAAAATACGTCACCAGAAGCTTCATGGCATGGGTTTCCATGGTCGAGCAGCTCCTAATGTGTGGTTGGCCCAGTACTTTCATCCATATAGCATATCAAAGGTCTTCTGATGGCAGATTGCTCAACATTCGTGAAGATAATATTTCAAAATAAGACTTTAAGAAGGCTGTGGATTCTGCCATCCAATCATTTTATAAGACAAATTATTGTTAACAGTAATAAAGGTTTTTGTGCACAAAGTCTCATAGGGCCTCATCAATGGCCTACAGACGTGTTGGAAATAACATTATTTTTTTCTGTGTGTGTGGAATGTTCTGATTTGATCTTTTAGTTCAGTTCAGTTCCTTTTAGTCCCAGAGTTATACTCAGAACCTCAGAGCTCTCCAGATGATCCAAGGGTGAGTCTCTGTGCCACAAATAAACTGCAGGTGAGTTCTTCTGTTCTGGATCCTACTGGTCACCATGTGTGGTACAATATGCCCAGATACAAGTACAGAGAAACTGGTTCTGAACTCTCTTGGAGGTCCTGGCAGGGGTCTCATAGATATGAACTTTAGAGATCTGAATATTCAGGACTGGAGGTGTAACTTGAGAGCAGATTTTCTGATCCATACTTCTCTAAAAATGCATCTTGCCATTTTAAGCTTTTAGTGAAGACAGGAATTTCAAACCTTCAACTGCCACCTTTTAATCAAATGTAAAAAAAATGCAACAAAGTGAGTTTTGTGTTCAGTCTACTGTAGTTCATATAAACCAGAAGTGTGACTGCACCCTGAGAACTTTCCATTAAATCTAGACAAATAAAATAAATTCAGACATTTCACGACTCATTTAGACAGCAGAGTACACTTGCAAATACAAAATCTAAACACCAGATTCCACAAGAGGCAGATCAGCTCCGGACCATCTAGAGAGTTAAGAAGCAGATCATGCCGTACCAACATGAACAGAGCCCAATAAGAATCAATCAAGGTGCCTTTAATGTTCTTGAGGAGGAGGTAGACAGAAGAGACAGATAACAGTGATGTGGTAGTCCTACTGTGGTGAAGTTGTAGTCCTTAATAACAGTCCTGAATCACGTCCTGCTGAGGTCAGTTTGTATCCTCTCTGTGGTGATTTTTTTTCCCTTTGAGGTTAACGTGTCATCCGGTTTTGGTCAGACTGTAATTGTTTCTGTGGTTAAGTCCTGAATCTTCCTGGTTTGGCTACAATGGGGTTTGTGGTTTGCTAGGAGGAGGAAGAAGAGGAAGCAGGTGACAGTTTTATCACAGATTGTGAAGGCTGTACACAAACATACATAATCTGTGCCATGATCACAAACTATATACCATATATACGGCTTCTGTTCACATTATCGGACATCTCAAGACAGCAAGACTACAGCTGACCAAAATTATACTTTATGTACTAAAATCAAAAAGTGCAACTGTGAGAGAGCAGAATGTGGAAGAATTGAAGCTCAAAGGTCAGATCAGGAGTTCTACTACCATGCTAGTTGATATTATGGCAAACTGTGTGTTGTGCACCCTGAGTTCACTCTCAGGTGTCAGGCTGCCAATGCAGAGTTCTGCTCCAACATCCTGAGGCAGGGTCCTGAGGGGTTAGAGGATGACTTCCACTATGCAACCTAAGCCATGTTGGGCTGCACATGAATTTGAACACCCTGAAAGGAAGAGTAGCCAATTTAATCAGGTATAGTTATTTTTTCTATTTACTTCGAACTTTCAGACAATCAGCTTTTCACTGGTAATGTCTTGGATGTTTATGTGAACACCGCTTACATACCTTAAAGATATGTTATTCATAAACGAAATCCAGATTAAGGAGTTTGGACCTTGACCCAGAACAAGAACAGTCTTCTATAAAAGCACATCAGCACGATGCTTCAGTGGTAAGCCCTGTTGCATGTTCTCCCCATGTTTGAACAGCTTTTCTCTGAGAACTATGGTTTTGTCATAATTGCCATAACTGAAAACCAGGCTAGACTTATGCTCCCTGTTTAGGATAAGGACACTCTCACAAAATCCAGGAAGCCAGAAAGAGATGTTTCATCTCAATTGTTTTACTTCCTGGTAATATAAGTGTTATGGAAAAAGAAAAAAAAAAAGTTGCTACATTGCACAGTACACAAAGCGTCCTTGCAATAATGTCACTATTACTTTTTCTCTTAGCAAAATATGTTTGTCAGCAAGATTGCTGAATTTCATGAAATCTGTTTACTGGTTTACATTTGGTACTAAAGTTTGTATAATTTCTTATATTTACTGAAGATTATTTCCAGAAAGCTCTTTCCTGTGGGTGGCCAGTCAGAGGTGAAGTAATGTTAGCTACATGATTTTCCTAGTGTCAAGGGGATTACAGTGAGAGTAATCCATTGTCATTAGTTTAACAGGACCAAACTGGCATATATTGTTATTTCAGAATGATGTTTATAAGTAACAACAGGAAATCCTATGCTACAAACTGGGCTTTTCTTCTTCTGGGAGAGACTACCTTCCTTTGGTGTGGACTTTGGGCTTTGTGACTTGATGGACCTTTACAGAAAAGCTACATAACACATGAGAGGAAATGGATAAAACGGTCACAATGTTGGCACTTAAAATGATTTCTATGTAATTAATACATGTTTATGTGAATGAGATTGTCAAGACTGTTCTGGAACTTACAAAAACACTGCTTTGATTGCCTTTTTCCATCTTTTTTCTTCTTTTATTTTCAGACATTTTTAAATCAAGGCTACATGAGGTACACCAGGCTAAGGTAAACTTCATGTTGAGGTCCATACTGGGATCTGAAATGGATAATCTACCTTATTGATAACACCACCCGCTTTTGCCAGAGCAATCACGTGACCGGAACATCTGGCCAAAACATCTGGTCAAGTTTACAAAGAAGCCCAATTTCCCAAATCTAACATTTACTGTTGAAAGCAGGTACAGAACACTCTCTCTGCTGTTGGCTTATTGATCTTTGATGCCATGCCTCTATTTTCTGTTTTTCGGGGTCAGGTTGCATTGATAGCAAACTATGCAGGGTATTATTCTCCCAATGTCTGCAACATTTTTCAGTTACCCGTGGGAGTTCCCAGTTTTCTCTTGGCTGAAATGGGATCTACAATCTGCATGGCTCCTTCGAGCTTGGATTGTACTGGAACCTTCCAAAGGACAGTACTCAGAGGGAATCTCTAATTAGATGCTCAAACCACCACAGCTGGCTGCTTTTGATGCAAAAGAGCAGCATCCGAGATCCTTACCCTACCTATAAGGCTGAGACCCAATGAAAGAAAGTCTAAAAATCAGTCCATAAAAAGTGGATTAGATCTTGACACAAAGAACTGCTAAAAGTAGAGGTACAGGGCAATACTCTTGCATTTTCACCAGTAGATGTCAGATTTCATATACCCTCAAAGATGTCGTTTTGATACAATTTCATGTAATTTTAAGAACAGCCTAGCTACAGACATAGTGGCAGCTTTGTTCCAGCACTAGTCTTTGAATTGATTGCAACTCTATGAGTAAGCCATAAGAGAACCGTTAATGTTTCGATATTCATCCAGTCAAGCTTGCAATGGAACAACCTGAGCTTTTCGAAATTTTTATGTAATAGATTAGAGCTACAGAATTTATAGATTATTTTTATGTGGCTACTTAGCGGCCTATCCTTTCAATAGTCAAGGCCTGAACTGTTTGTTAAGAAAAGCAAACAGGAGGAGTGATAGACAATTTAGAGGTCTGGAACAAGTTTGTTTAGCCAGTACAAATACAGACTAGTATCTGTTCTAGCCAGTTAGCTTGCTACGGTCTGGACATTCTGTGTGCGCCTTTTTAAGAATTGATTTATAAATTTACCTTTACACAATCTTGGGAAAAACATGCAATTTTGGCATCACCACATCAATTGGCCAAGTCCGGTTGCCTGTGACCAAACTGCCCCCTCTTCCTCTCCTTCTGTCTAGCTACTCCCTGTTCCAGCTGAGGTGGGAATAGTCTCAAACTGTCATCCATACAGTATGAAATTGTAATCCTGTCGCAGAGAATCAATTTCAGTTCCAGAGGTTGTAGTCCTTTTGCTGATTTTGCAGTCCGTGTGATGGTGACTTCCTGCTAGGCCTCCAGATTTTGGTTCTGTTGGTGGAGGGAAGGCTAGAAGAACCAACGAAATGCCTCACTGGCTGGGACAGAGGGAGGCCGCTAAGAATAGGAGACAAAATGTGGCGTGAGACATAGGAAAACTGACAGTAAAATCGAAATGACAAAATAAATACACACCTAAATGTCTGTTTCTACTATTTCTTTCCTGAATCTTAGTCTTTTACCTTTGACTTTTTTTCAGTTAAATTGTAAATATTGGATCACATCAGCATCAACGCTGGCTCGCAGTTTCTGCTGTGTTTCTTGAACCGTTTGTGTGGGTAAACACATCCGCAGTGATGCAGGCTGTAGATCAAAGTCGGTCTGCTGCGACTATACTCTGCCTTCCTCTGAAAAGCTGCCAGCAGAACTTCATAGAGTCAATATAGATTTCCTGTCTTGTCACCTTGTGATAAAGTTTAATTTCATTATAATTTGGGGTTTGGGATATAAATTAACTTTGAAAAACAGCAGATCTCTTTGGCTGTGTGGATACACAAACTATCACTGGTTTAGTTTAATACTGAGATAATATTAAAAAAAAGAGGGTTTGTTGAAAGAAGAGCCACCAGTCACAAAGTAAAGTATTCATCTGTAAAGGGAAAGCATGTAAAAACAAGTTCTTTAATATAAATTAAAAGGTGACCCCAATAATGAAACAGTCCCCAGCATTTTTGGGGGTGTGGCCTCTTTGAGAGATGGTTGGCGACACAGGTTCAGCTCCGCTACATTTGGACTGTTTGATCTCTTTGAGCCTTTTGGAGGATATTATTGCAATTATCTGATGATTAATATAGTCGTAATAGACTAATATATTTCAATGCAACTTTTCCTGTTGCTTTCAATCTTTTAATAAGATAGTAAGATAATAAGTTTCTTTTATGGTCCATGAAATAGTCTTTATACACCCCTGTACAGCTGCAATTCTGTATGGTCAGTGGTCTGTGGTTTTCAGTAGCAATACATTGTAGATTGACAGAGCCATATGTGACAATTTCGCTATTTTTAACCAACTATGACACATGTACTCTTCTTCAGTGTGAAACTGAAAAATATGTTTAAGAAAAAAACCTGAAAGACAAAAATGTTACTTCTCAGAATATACTACCACTTCATTTCCTTTATGGTGGTTTCCATCATATTCAACAAAATATGAGCTCAGTATTAAACTGGCTAAGTTTCATGTGACTATAATAAAATGCTTTCCCTTCATATGCTCTGGGTAAAAGAAGGCGTAGAAAAGTGCAGAACCAGTCAAAATGTGGGAGGTTTTTGTAAGATGTTTAAGATGTTGTGCAGTCTCACTTGAAGCATAATTTTTCAATCTGCATAATTGTTACATTGCTGGGGGGTTTTTTTTGTTAGTTTTTCCTTTTTATATCTTCGATGGGGTTTTTTCACAGTTCTCCCATTCCTGGTGAACTCCTGTTGCTCCTGTCCTATTCTGACCTACTTGTCAACCAATTAGCATTTGGCAGATGCAAATGTCATATGGTAGCAATCTGTAGTTAGGATTTTGGAGGCCAGGATGGGAGCACGTCTGCGGTTGAAAACCCTTCTCTGCTCACTCCGTGAATAGAAAAATGTTTGAAGTGAAACCGAGTGTAAAAAAACAATGAAAAGTTTCCACCGCTGCCATGATCTCTCTTTGTATTTTATAACTTCACTCTTCTCTTTGGATGGCTAACGGACCAACAACAAAACACGCAAGAATGGCCCACAGACCAGTTGTACCACTTATTTGTACACTGGCGCCACTGCAAGTAGAAGGGCCATCCTTAGACTCGAACCATAAATTCTGCGTAATGAGGGACATGTGGTCACCCTACCTGCTAAGAGTTGACCATCGAAGAAGTCTGTGCTTCAGTTTTGGTCAGTGACACTCATTAATTAGCACAGTTAACTGATAACTCAATTACATCATCTCATCCAAATATGGTCGCTTCTAGCTCCACAACCGCCAACATGATGATGGACATGAAGTTGAAATTAAGGCTTCAAAACTGGACTTCTTAAAAGTGACGACGCCTACATATGCGGGGTATGATATCCTTGCATACGTTGCATCGAGTGCACTGAAATCAGCTTTGACTGGTTTTGAAATCACTTTGAAGTTAGTGGCCAGTTTGCTCTGGGCTCTGACAGGTTATCCTGCTGCAGAGAAAGGTGGAGAAAACTACCCAGGGTGCTTTGCTGTTCATCTCACAGAGTAAACTTGGTGCCAGGCTAAGAGTTTGTCAGGTCGACATCAAAGAGAGCGGAAAGAATGAGGCAAGAGTGTGAAACCACCTGCTGACACACACACAGAGAGGGAGAGAGAGAGTTGCCCTCACAAACATTCACATGCTTTGTAACACACACACACACACGCCGCTGTCACTTGCCGTTAGCCTCCACAGGTCCAATTAGCGTGTAATTGAGGAAGATTATGGCTGCTAATTCACTCTCTTCCCATCTCACACACACACACAGTGTTTCAGCGCGTGTCCTCACAGCACATGTGTGCAGATGAGGGAATAATTAGTGATAGTTTGTAGCGATTCCCACAGGAAGTGCGTGTGCGTGTGTGTGTGTGTGTGTGTGTGTGTGTGAGAGAGAGAGAGAAAGGGAGAGAGATATATAGAGTCATCAGTGAGGTCGAATGCTGGTGTCAAAGAATTATTGATCGCCACTAATTCTTATTGCGCTCACACACTCTTATACACACGCACGCACACAGCAGTGGTAGATCACATAAATATTCGCTGTTCCCTCCCTCTCGCCCGGCCGCTTTATCACCGTGAATCAGTGTGTGTGTGTGTGTGTGTGTGTGTGTGTGTGTGTGTGTGTGTGTGTGTGTGTGTGTGTGCTGGCGGCTTGCCAGACCTCAGCAGGGACCGAGCTCTCGCATTTCACCACCCACCATCTGCACAGCACTCACACACACACACTCAGCAGGGTGAGCGATGCCTTCCAGCTCGAGCATCACTGCCAGTGATCTGGGTTAAGTGAGCCAGGACACACACCGAGACACACACGCACACCGAGATGCACACACACACACGGACAGAGATGCGCACACACACAGAAGAAAGAGAAGATGAGACATACATTTGCTAACGTCCAGCCAATGCTGTGCGTGTGCACGTGTGTATGCGTGCGTGTGCGTGCATGAACTCACCTCCAGCACCCCCCCTCCTCCCCCCGGCTTCTTCTTCAGCTCCTCGCACTTCCTGAACTTGCAGATCTGGTGACCCGTCTTCCTGTTGCGGCACGATGAGCAGACGCCACAGTTGATGAGCCGCCTGCACGGCCCGCACACGCCACATCGTTTCCTCTTTCTTTTAGCCACCGTCCCGGATGACGAAGATGATGATGACGACAGGGAAACGGCCGCCGCTGTCACACCTGATGATGGGGGCGAGGAGGAGGAGGGGCAGGGGGAGGAGTTGGCATGCTGCTGGCAGTCTGTTAGCGCCCGCTGGCCGCCTGTCATCTGAAAGGCGCTGCTAGCGTCTGAGATCCCGCCCCCTGCTGACCCCATCGCCATAACAATGACCCCGGGAGGTAGTCCCAGCCCCCCCAGGAAGCTGCCACCCATAACCCCTCCTCCGTTGCAGCTGCCACCCTCTGATAGGCCTATCATGTCCGCGTGGGTGTGTCCCTGCTTGTTCATGACGCCACAGTCTGTTCCGCCACTGTATCCAGGAAGGAAGTTCCCGTTGCTTGATGCCATGGCGTGATGGTGTGCCGTTCCCTGTGAAACAGGAAGTGAGGCAGTGTGTCCGTGTTTCTCAGCCCCTCCACCGTCACTGCTCCCACCACCTCCTCCCCCTCCCGACCCACTGCTGCTGCTCTGGTGCATGCTGGTACTATGGGGGTGCGAGGAGGTCATGTGACCCGGCGTCGCAGAGGGGTGATGATGGTGGTGGGGGTGGTGCGTCGGCGTGGCCGCCACGGGTTTAGGTCGGCCCCAGAACATTGCCGCCGGGTGGTTCATGTTCATGTTCATGTTGTCGTGGCAACCCCAGGGTGTCGTCGCCATAGCCCCAAGTCTGGCAGCGGTGGGAGGGAAGATGGGGGCGGCCGCGGCCAAGCGGGCGGCCAGTTTGGCTGACTGAGGGAAGTTTGTAACGTTCATGTTCATATTGACGTTGGTCTTGTAGAAACTGGCGATGGAGGAGCGGTAACGATCCATCTCTGTAGTGTAGTCCAGCATGGGAGCCAGGCCCGACACCTGCAGGACATAGCACCAATCACTGTTATCAATACCAGCCATAATCAATTTAAAAAAGCACACGGATAAAGTGGCTTTACAGGGAGGTTGGTGGGCAGAGCTGTCTTCATGGAGCAAAATTAAAAGGACAGAGCGGTTCACCTGTTAATGGAGCCTCAAATATCAGCAAACACCAAGGCGACAGAGTTGATACTATGCCTAATGATGACTGCTAAAAGCTGGCTACACACCAACAAGTCCACCTTTGAATTGCCCAACAAAACCAAAATGAAGGTGTTGGAGTGGCCTAGCCAAAGTCCAGATTGAGCTGCTGTGGCATGACCTTAAACAGGCTGCTCATGCTTGAAAACATTCCAGTGTGGCTGAATGTGGCTGTGCTACTGTTTAGAGCAGGGGTCCCCAATCCCAGTCCACGAGGGCCGGTGTCCCAGCAGGTTTTAGATGTGTCCTTGTTCCATCACAGCTGATTTAAATGGATAAATTACCTTCTCAACATGTCTTGAAGTTCTCCAGAGGCCTGGTAATGAACTAATCGTGTGATTCAGGTGCATTGACCCAGGGTGTTATCTAAAACCTGCAGGGATACCGGCCCTCGCGGACTGGGATTGGGGACCCCTGGTATAGATAACCCCTGGGGCAGGGATAGCTCAGTAGGTAGAGTGGTGGCCCCATGATCGGAAGGTCGGGGGTTCGATTCCCCTGAACAGCTACCCTGAGGTACCCCTGAGCAAGGTACCGTCCCTGCACACTGTTCCGCGGGCGCCCAATGGCTGCCCACTGCTTCACTGAGTGAATGGGTTAAATGCAGAGAGCGATTTTCCCCACGGGGACCAATAAAGTACACTTTCTTAAAAAAAAGAACAATTACTTTTCACAAAGGAACTAGTGGGTTTGGATAGCTTTTTTCCTTAATAAATGAAACCATCATTTAAAAACTGTGTTTTGTATTTACTCAGGCTATCTTTGTCTAATATTGACATTAAATCTAAACGATTTACCGAATTTCCCAGAGGGATTAATAAAGTTTTATCTAATCGAATCTAAAAAAAAATCCAAGACATATATGCAAATCGCTACAAAATCTGGAAGGGAGCAAATACTGTTGCACAGATCTGTTCCACGTTTTCCTTCCTTCACAGCTCACAAAGAAATATCCGCTGTATTCACCAGTGCAGTTTTATTCATCTCTATTATTTGCCTACAAACATTCGTTCATGAGAGCCAATCTAAGAACTACTTTATTCCAAAGTACAACTCTTAATGAACAGTACCACATTCTGTCTTTGTAGTAAATCCATTTTTGCCTAGACTTTGTCTGTCGTCTCACTGCAGGAAACATTTATTTTGCAGTTGGTCTGACCACACTGTCGCTGTATTCTCTGGAGCAGAGTGACAAGAAGGAAACTGAAAAGTAAAAGTTCTGTAAATGTGAGCATTAATTAAGCTGGCAGTCCCCCCCCTAGCTGTGAAAATGTGGGGGTCATTTTCACAACTAATGGATCAATCCTTAAAAGGCTTGTTTCGTTCTTTGAAAGTAACGCAGTGGATTGGACTAATGAGAAAGCGTATTGACCGAACAATCGACCAGCTGACCCTGAGATCGGCGCCCTCGCAGCAGAGCAGCGGTGGGTTCTGTAATTGATGCCTACCTGGATGATCTAATTGAGTTTTTGGCAATGACCCGAGGCCAGTTTCAACAGGAACCTTCTAAATTTAATTTGATTTAACCTTCGCTTCACCCGCTGATTCTGCAGCCCTGCACTGGGAGACCAACATGGATGCAAAAGTTTACACGTCAACTCACCTGTCCCTGTCCGCCGTAGCCATGGTGATTTGGGTGATGGTGCGAGGGGGCTGAGCTTCTCTGGAGCATCGAGGAGAGGTCACTGTCCACACACACGCCACTCGTCATGCCCGACATGACCTCACGCACACATATACATACAAGCGCACACACTCACTCACTCACACACACTCAGGTGGGCTTTGTTGCACAGGAAGCTAGTTAGTTCTGCGTGGTCGCCACGTTTTGCTCTGAAAGTAAAAAGAAAAGTCAGGTGAAGGTGCTGCATTCAATAAAGAAAACCCTCACTCTCGTGGATCATCTTTTTCAGGCTCAGCAACAAGATTTTCTGTGGTTTTAGTCCCACAAATGCACAACTCTGTTGCTTGTGAAGCTCGCACACAAGAATTTCACTCACATGTACTGTACCAATGTACCTGCACATGTGATGTGACAATAAAAGTGATTTGATTTGATTTGACAAATGATCTACAGAGAGTATTTTAATGTAGCTGATTGATTGGTCAGTTAAGTGGGCAGGCCATTACCCTCAGTTATTCACATCTAATCTGAAAGTAAACCCAGAAAGTAAAGCCGTCAGAGGACATGAAAGACCGACTATCCTGTGACAGCAAGCGAGGGGAAATCCCTTAAGCCTGCATTCCCTCTGAGGTTCAGCAGGGGGCGACTGCTCATAGCTGCAAAATGAAGTCTAACGGTGTAGAAGTCTGATTCTAACTCGATGTCTGACCTCGGCTAATGCTTTCCTAATGAATTTAAAAAATTATAGGAAATTTAGTCGAGAATAAGCTCTCCTCAAAATCATCACATCAACAGCTCACTTGGTTTCAAAAACCATGATGGCAGCGCACAAAATGCTCCAACAAACTACCTGGTGACATCACGGTGGCTACGTCTTGTCTTTTATATGGAGATGGCGATGACACAAGGCTGCAAACAAAAGAGGAAACAAAGAACAAGCTGCCATGTTCTTCGTCTTCCTTTGTGGAATTCCCTTTTCCTCAGGTGATGACGTGCCCTTGAGCAAGCAAACGCCGAATCCCCACCAGGGACACTGCAACATCCGACATCGAGTGAACTGAGGCCGCTATTTGTAGCTCGTCAGCGTCGGTTTCAAGGCCAGGTCGTGACCCCAGTGCTTCCACGGAGGGCACTCAATAGGCAAAAAAGTTCACGTAAGGCAGATCTCAGGTCCAAGCAGAGGCCTCGAAATATCAGAAAGGGTGGAATAATCTGATTATAAGTGACCTCTGACCTCTCGGTGTGCACACGCACAAACTCACACACAAATGGTTAAGTCCAACTGTAAAGGAGTCATTGTCGTTTGTGAGCGTGTGCAGAATAAACGGGCTGCAAATGTGTGAGCTTGAAAATGTGTTTGCATGGAGAAAGAAAGAGACTGAAATTGTGTCCCTGTGTGTGTGTGTGTGTGTGTGTGTGTGTGTGTGTGTGTGTGTG